TGTGACTCAACCTCATCGGGGCCATCAGGCTCTCCCGGCCTGCGGGGGATCTGGCCGCGGGGCGGAGGCCAGAGCGACGCGCTGTGATCCCGCGCGGCCAAGGGCCGGCTCCAAAGGGAGGACAGGCGACCTGGCTCTGGGCTGTGTCCTGAGGGACAGGCGAGACTCACCCAACAACACGCTCGGGTGAGCAGGGCTATGCAGAGCTCTGGGCATTTCCCGGGAGCGAGGTGGGGGCGTGAGGATATTTTAAGCAGGGGGGTCACAGAGCGCGTATCACGGTGTGCAATACCGGGGAATGTGCGACACTGGGGGCGTATAATGCCGGTGAATGCAAGTCGGTGGTCCCCGGGGGGCCCCGCTAGCTGAGCGCAGGGCCAGCCCCCTCCACCACGTGTGGCCAAGGAGCCCAGGAGGGCAGCAGGGGTCGCAGACGTGGGAGTAGGCGGCATCGGGACGGCACCTGAAGCTGTGAGAACAAAAACACAGGCGCGTACAGCGAGGCATGGAAGTGGCCGTACAGGGTGACGTGAAGCAGCTGAGGGCTGAGTCCCAGAGAACTCCCGTGTTTAAGGCTCAGCAAAGGGGAAAAGAGTGTGAAAAGGAGACCGTCCGGGCTGTCCGGGGAGGGGGCGTGGGGGGAGGGGCGGAGCCAGAGAGAAGGAGCCAAAGCCGGGCCAGGCCGGGAGGGCCCCGGGCTGCAGAGGCCTCGCGCGGCGTGGGGACCGGTGGGTGTCCCCTGGAGCTGGCCCCGTCCCACCGAGAGTGTCAGCACAGCGGCCAGGGAGGGAAGCCGGCTCCAGCACTGTGCTGAGAAACGACCTGTGGGAGACACTGTTTTTAGAACCCAGCAGGTCAACTGTGAGGGACAAGAGACAAGCTAACATCACGTGAGTAAGTTGAGTTCTGGCGCATTTAGAAGACGAAGGAGCTGAGCCTGCTGAGAAGCTGAAGGGAAGGAGGAGAACGGGGTATGTCCTAGAAGCCCGGTCTCCACGCGACCGACAGAGACTCCTCTGGATGGTGTCCTTCTTCCCAGAACCGGGAGCTGTCCGGGGATCAGAGGCGTGGCTCTCGGGCTCTTGGGCTCGCTGGCCCGCCGCGCGACCTCCCACGGCCTCTCCAACTACCTCACTGGACAGGACCGAGCCCCATGTGACCTGCCTTCAAGGTCCCAGGGTTACAGAAGGAATCATATACTCTTACAGAGCGAGGCAGCCCAGAGAGGTTAGGTGATATGGTTAAGGTCACACAGCTAGCTGGAGGTAAATCCAGACTAGAATACGGGTCTCCAGTCTCCAAATCCAATGCCATTTCTATCAAGTGATCATGCATTTGCTCCATGTGGCTCAGCTGCCTGACTTGAAAAGATAGTGATTTTCCTGCCAGCAGAGCTCTGCTGGGAATGAACTGCCCCCTGAGGATCACTGGAGTCTGTCCTCCCACCCAGAAGGGCTGTTCAGGTACCAAGGGGATTCCCCCTCCCTCGCCCCTCCCCCTCCCTTGCTCTCTCTCCCTCCCTCCCCCCTCTCCCTCACTTTGCTCTCCCCTCTCCATCTCTCCCCCTCCCTCCCTCTCTCTCCCTCCAGCCCCTCCCCTTTCAGAAGGGCATGGTGGCCGTGGCGCTGGGAGAGCGCCGGGCGGGCACCAGCAGCAAGCACAGCCCGCGACCCCTGCTCAGCTGCGGAGCCCACAGGGCCTGCGCACGGTGCTCCTGCTTGGCAGGCGGCCGGGCCTCTCAGCAGAATGGCACTTTGTTACCACCAACGATCCCGTGCACTGAACCAAGCGGCACCAAGGACCTCGGCGTCCCTGCCAACCAGGTCACATGCTCTGGTCCTCAGGGCGCTGTGTGGCTCTGCACAGGACAGGGCAGAGGGGAGTGGGACAGGCTCCCCAGTTCAGACAGCGGTGCCCGCGGGCCCGGGGCTCCCTGCCAGTAGGGCCCCAGGGGTGTGGTTGAGGGACCTGTGGCAAAGATGTCCATTCCTGGGTTCGGTGCAGGCTCTTTAGATGTGACTTCAGGGCTGTGATGGACGCCAGGCCCGGGGACAGCCCTGTGGGGAGAAAGAGGGAAGGTGGGTCATCGCTGCTGGCTGAGGGGCGGGCCCGGAGGAATGGCCATTCCTGGCCCACAGGCTACCCCTGCTGCACTCAAGGCTCATGGAAGCCTTTGTTCAGAGAATTTTTTCCCCCTTTATATTGTCCTTCATTGAGGACTTGCAATGTTACAATGTGTCCAATTCAGTGTATCATCCACTGAGCAGATTGCTCTGGGAAAGTTCGGCCACAGGGAAGCTGAGACACACAGATAGTCAGTGGTCCCCTTCAGGGCTATGCTGGCCAGGTGAGCAGGCGGCAGCCACTGGCGGGGGGCGGTCCACGTGCACGGTGTCTGCGCTCCCCTCAGAGCCTGGGGTCCCACCCAGGACACCGCCCCTCCAGCGTAAAGCGTTCCTTTCCCTTCGAAATGGATACAGGGGAGATGTTTAAAAGTGTCTGTACTGTCCCAGCCGGTGTGACTCAGGTGCTTGGCGCATTGTCCCATAAACTGAAGGGCTGCGGTTTCAGTCCCCGGGCAGGACACGTCTCTGAGTTGCAGGTTGGGTCCCAGTCGGGGCTCATGCGAGAGGCGACCCATTGGTGTTTCTTGCTCACATTGATGTTTCTCTCCCTCTCTCTCTTCCCCCCTTCCCGTCTCTCTAAAATCTGTAAGCATGTCCTCGGATGAGTTTTTTAAAAAAAGCATCATTAGTCGCTTATAGTGAGAATAGTTTCCAGGCCATTCTGTAGCCTCATCGACCCCCTAATCGGGAAGGACGCCACTTCCTGCGACAGGCGGTTGGACGTCTCTGTCCAGCTGTTGCTCAAACAGGAAGCAGGCGACAATTTTTCCAAGGTGCTCCTCGGCCATCTCATGAGCTCCTCTGAGCCTTGGACTGGGTTGTTTTAAACCCTGTTTTATGGGAACGAGAAGACCACACTTCTAAGATTGTCTGATAGTAAATAAGCTATTTATAAAGTGTAGCTGGTATTTTGAATGAATAGAATGAAGTCAGGAGGCGACGTTGGGTTTGCCTTCGTTGCAGTCACTGAGGAGGCTCTTCTGGGGCCGTGGCAGCGCCGGGCAGGCCTCCCGCCTCCGTGGCCTCCCCCAAGGTAGCAAGTCTAGGGCTCCAGGGCCCATGACACAGACTCTCCGCTCAGTAATCAAAATGTCCCGTCCAAGGTCCGGGTGGGCGATCGAGGCTAAACCCACTGAACACAGCGGCCGACCACATGTCCACGTGGTTGTGAAGTGTCTGAACGTTGCCCTGCCGTCTGGATACAAACAGATTTCACCCAACCGAGCCGACGTCCCCGTTCCTAAAAAAGTGAAAATTAACAGACAGGTGAACCAAGCGGGTGTCTCTATTACTAAAAAGTTAAAAATGGACAGATGAACCTCCTTAGTCACGCTCAGGCTGAGCCCAAACTGTGTTTCGCTGAGGGGACGGCGAACACCCTAAGCGACAGCTCCTGCCCCGTAGAAGATGGCTGACGACAGTGCTTCACCTTGACACGAAGAAGGAAACACAAATGCGGATTAACATTTTGACTGATTTCACAGAAGCTCGTCGCTGAGGTAGACATTGACTGATTTAGTATCGTGTACTTATTTTCTCTCTTGTATCTGTATCTGTCTCTCTGTCTCATCTCATAGGTCAGTTCCTTTTCATGAATCATTTATTAAGGGATCGTTTAAATACTCAAAACACTCCCCTTCGAAGTGTGCAGATGCCTTTCCTGCCCTGGAGTCACTTTGCAGGGTCGTACAATGACCCCCACAGCCCCCTTTCGGGACTTTGCCGTCACCCCAGGAAGCCCCCTCGTGCTCTTTGCGGTTAACACCCACCCCCACTTCAGCCCCAAGGGACGCCGACCTGCTTTTTGCCTGTAGCTTTTGCCTCTTCTAGGAGTTTCCTGTAAATGGCAGACGGAATTAGCCCGTATCAGCAGTTCATTTTACCACATTTACGACAACCCTTGCTGGGGAGCTCGCACTGGGAAGCGAAGGGGAGTCTTGCGGCTCGGGCGTCCTCAGTCCAGTCCGCGGACGAAGTTCTGCTGAGGCTCCGCTTCAAACATGATCTTCCTGCCAACCCTCCTCCCTCCCTCCCTCCCTCCCTCCCTCCGTCTCTGCTGCTCCCCCACCCACCTCGTCTGCCACAAGGATGCTAATGAGGACAGGAGGCCTAGCATTTATAGAGCCAACAGCTCATCATTTATTTCTCATTATTCCGGTTGGGTGGGATTTCCGGTTCATGGAGGCGGGTGGGGCGCCAGATCAAAGCTTCTCCCGGCTGCTCAGTGGAGATGAATGAAGTCCAGTCTGACCTCGATCTGGATCCCCCTGGGGAGGAGTAACATTGCTTGGGCTTTTCTGTCCCAAGAGCTTTGGGGACAGACTGGACTAGACAGAGGCTGCCCAGCTCGTGGAGAGGGCGTGGAGAGTTTCACATCACTGGACTCTCACCAGTCAGCACCCAGCATCCCTTGACCTTTGCCCCAGGAAAGAAACACACCCGTGGTGGAGAAAATGCCGAATTGTGGCCTCAAGTCTTTCCCTTCCCATCTGGGGCCACACAGCCACGTTTATGAAGCCAGAGACCGAAGCTGCATGAAAGCCAGGGCTCTGTGCACTAGAACTGTAGTCAGTCACGGGAGGGGTGGGGGACGTGCCGGAAGGGATGGGCAGAGATGCCTGGACCTGGGCGTAGGACACGGCCGGTGGCCTCAGCCACCTCGGGGCAGTGACTTCATGAAGAGGCAGCATGAAATCAGACAGCGAAGCAGGGTCCATTTCAGCCTTCCAAGGTCAGGACAAAGTGGGGGGCCGTGGGGGAGGGGGTTCGCCAGCAGAAGGGGAGGCACGAGGGCTCTGCACCAGGAGAAGCACTGAAGCTCCCAGCGCAGAAGTCGAGTTCCAGCGGGACTGGCTGCTTCTCCCCCGGGAAGCCTCAGATGTTCATCGTCAGGGTGATGAACTGGGGAGAGAAGGAGACAGGCAAGGTGGGTAAGCCTCCATCCCCCCAGCCTCGGGAGTGGCCCCCCGTCCATTCGGCTGCCTGGACCGCCTCGCTGACCCCTCCGCCTGCAGACGTGGACTTCTGTCTCAATGTGCAGCATTTAAAAAAGGACTCTCAGCACTTTGCTTTTCCTGGAGCTCCCTCGCCCTTTCTGAGCGAGCTCAGGTCGAGTGCCGATGGCGACAGACAGAGCTGTGCTTTCTCCCCGTGGACGTCAGCAGCCTCCAAGGCATGGAGGAGGGCGCCTCGGGTGTGTTTCCCTCCTGACGAGGGGTCCCCTTACCCTGAGACAAGGTGACCTGCATCACGGAGGGGCTGCGGGAGAGGGAAGTTGTTCCTAACCTCCTCCACCCTGCGTCCCTCCTGTCTCCCTCTTCCTAACAGCTTTCTCATCACCACTGGCGACTGGGGGAACAGATTTTTGGGGGGGATGTATTTTTCTCTCCCGGGCCCAGCATGAGCCAAGGCCAGGGTGATAGAAGGCAGCCACGCAGACCCTTTAAGCAGAAAAGTTGCAGGTGAGTCCACTCGGGCAAAGTCTCTGTGTCCTGGGCGGAAGGAAGACGCATTCAGGACGATGGCTCTCAAACCCGGCCACACACTGGACTCACCGGGGGAATTTTAAACATCTCAGTGCCTGGGGCCCAGCTCCTGAGATCTGGACCGAATGGGACCAGGGCACGGCCGGGGCACCGGGGGTTGCACTCTCCCCGGGACAGGCAGCAGCCACGTGGAGCAGCGAGCGCACAGGGGCGTGGAAGGAGAGGCTGCGGGCTTGCCTTGTTGCCTCGGAGGGCGGTGACTCTGGGCCAGGGGCAAGAGCTTCCACCGCATGACTCGGGTCTGCTGAGTCAGGGGGACAGGAGAGGGCGCATTCCAGCCCCCACACCTGTGCAGACTGGGCTTAGAAATGACACCTTGGACCTGAAGCGACGGAATGCTTCTTCCACGCTCCTGGCACTTTGGGTCTTTGGCGAAGAGGCCATTGAATACCAAGCCTGTCTGCTCCCCTTGCACTGCGGACAGGTGACAACTGTGACACTTGCTTCATGCTTATTAGTGAATGAGGAATAAAGGTGGGCCCAGCGGTTCCTGGTGTTTCCATCAGAGACCAGTGTGAGTATGCACTTCTGTCTTGGGAGTCCTGGGGGTTTTTACAGTTACCAATCGGAGGCGCTGTAGTTATTGAATGTATTGTCCACGCTGAAGGTGACAGAGAACGCCAGAGAAGAAAAATGCCCAGTTTCTATTCTCAGCGTGCTTCTAATGTATCCAGGGAGCTGGGCTAGGCACAGGGGAACATTAATGATGAATCGACATAATAAATCGCCAGATTATACGACAGTACTTTAACCAAACTTTGGGTGCAAGTTTAAGGCCCAGATCTCTTTCTGCAAATGGAGAGACTGAGGCACAGAGCAGGCGGATTGACTGAAATCAGAACACAGGGAGGGGCGGTCCCACCTCCGTGGAGGACTTGCTGTCATCAACCTCTGTGTCTCCGAACGGTCAGTAAATGGTGCCCAAACCCACACTTGCTAGTGACTTTGGAGGGGAGCAGAGTGTGTGGCGTGTGCGTGGGAGGGTGACACAGGCTGGCTGGCTGGCTTCACACCGTTGGGTCCCAGGAAAGCAGAGCCGGACAGAACGACACGGGGCAGAAAGGAAAACACGGGACATGGAAATCCCAGGAGCCACTGAAGGAAAGCGTCCTGGAGCCTGTCCCCTGCCTGGGGTCAGGAGGAGGATTCAGCAGAATTCTCAAACCTCAGTGTGCTTAGGACTCCCTGGGGGACCCTGCTCCAGCGAGACCTGGTTCCGCAGGCCTGGGGTGGGGCCTGGGCCCTGCACTTCCTTTTGTTTCTGTTTCATTGAGATGCAGTTATAACGACATATAACGATCGCACACATTTAAGGTGTACCATGTGTTCTTATGAAACATTTACACACTGCAATATGATTACTGCTGCCGTGTTAGCTAACACCTCCATCATGGCGCGCCCTTCTCATCTCTTTTCTGCAGTGCAAACAGCGGCGGTCAAGGCTCTGAGCCGCTCTGAGCTCCTGACACAGCGCTGCTGCCTCCCGTCACTCCGCATTTCCGGTCACTCCCCTCGGTGGAGCCCGAGCGGCCGGGCTGGCCGTGGGGCCACGCTGGGCACTGGGAGGGGGCGGGCCGCGCCCGGGACGCCTCTTCCCAGCCCCTGCAACTCCATCAGCCTCTCCCCCCCACAACTGTTGCTGTAATCAGCCCTGTAGCTGGTAGAAGCTGTATATTTCTAGCGTTTTTGAGGAGTTTGCACGTGCGTGTACATGCGACGCACACACACACCAAAAATCACGAGACCTGCAGGATGAGAGGAGCAAGGGAGAGGGAAGAAAACAGAACGCAGAGAGCTGGTAGGCAAGCGGCTGCGTGGAAGGAGGCGGAGACGGGGAAGGAGGCGGGGTTTGCTAGCGGACTCTGTTCCAGGGATAAGCTCTCGGTGCCTCGGTGTCCACTTCTGCAAAGTGGGGGTACGATCAGTCCTTAGCTCATAGGACTATTGTAACAATTATATTGACCGCTACATGCATAATGCCTTTACAATATTAGCGCTTTTATTGTTGTTTTACCCCCCAAACTAAATATTCATGCGCCCACATGCAACCATGCATCCGGCAACTGTTATGGAGTGTGGACTCCGGGCCTAGCCCTGGCTGCATCCCTGCACGGAAGTCTGGCCTGCTCATACCTCGTTTATGTTGAGACGAATGAAGTCCTTGTTCTTCGCGCTGAGGGCCTGGAACACCCCTGATGGGAGACACGAGAAACGCATCATTGCAGGGACAGGACCTTCAACAGGCTTAGTTTTTCCCCAGCACGAGGCGCCGCCCGCGAAGCCTGCGGAGGAGCTGCGCCACCTGGTGGCGATCGTCCACAGCACAGCCCCGACTCAGGCCGGCTGCGGGATTGCTCCTGGGGGAGGAAGACATTGGCCTGGGCATTGGGTGGGACGTGTTGTCATCTACAACATGCAGCCAGCTGCGGAATCTAAAACATCTCCCTGTCTTAACTTTTTGGGGGCTAAGATCCCTTGCAATCCGTGGCCCCGCTTCCAGAATAAAAGGACATGTACATGAAGTTTTGCTGAGTCTTGAAAGCCCACGGGTCCCTTACAAGAAAGGGAGCTGAGCAAGAGCTCCCACAGGCGGGAGGAGCCAGGTAGGAGGCAGAGCCCGTCTGAGCCGGATGCTCCGTCTACTGCAATACCCGAGAGAGTGGCTTTGCTCCCCGTCAGTCAAAGCAGGCAAGCCAGTTCCCCCTGGCTTCACCTAACAGTCGCTGGGGACCTTCAGAAATACAACAACTGGGGGAAGGGGCTGTCACAGAACACAAGAGAGGGAACCCAACAGCCAAGTGCAGGAGCGGAGCCCGAGACAACCAGGCAAATGGAAAAAGGGGACCTGGGGAATTTCTGCACGGACCAGGTCTCAGGTGAGTGGAGAACTTGTTGAGGCTGTTTTAGGGTCTGCAAATTGTGTGAAGATCATGCTAAAAACAAGCCTGTCTGTTGGAGATCATTACGGATGAAAGGGACTGAATTTCTGAGGTGTTAAATAATTCAGGAGAAAAAGTACATGTTGGGGAATGTATGGAAAAGGTTACAAGATGATAATTACCGAGGCAGGGCATGAAGCGCTGGAACCACCTGGGGACTTTTTACAAATACTGACACTGTGTGCCACCCAGCCTCTTCTAATTTAGCTACTGAGCAGCCTGGTCATCAAAACGTTGAAGCTCCTTGGGGACTGTAACGTGTGGCAAAGTTTGAGAAGCACGAATGGAGGGCTCATGGGAACCAAGGTTATTCTTTATACTAGCAAGTGCGATTAAAATTTTCTAGAATAAAAAGTTAAAGTTGTCCTGGGGTAAAGCCCTAGCCTTGGTTCTCTTACAAGTTCCCCTGTTGATGAATCTAACGTGCGGATCCCAGTGGGTGATGTGAAGCCTGGAGAACCTTCTCCCTAATATTCCTCGATGGTAAGAACAAGCCGAGCACCCGGAGGTAAGCCTTGGGCCTGAGGGGATGGGGGGGGGGGGGGGGGGGGGGCAGTTGAGAGAGAGAAACTATCAAGTCTCATGATTTCTAGGTCATTCTTGACCACCCCGGATGTCTGGTAAGTGACTCTCGCAGGAGGATCTTTGTAAGAGGCACCTCTCACTAACTGCGGGCCCACCTGGAGGAAGCCCCGCCTCCTGCTCGCGTCTCTCAAATCAGCGTTGCCTGCTGACGCCTGCGCTTTACTGCCCACTGCAAGCCCCCTCCTGGAGCTTACGGTCTAGGAACCAGGCTCCATCAAGTTGCACACACGTCCTAGCGACAAGAAAGAGGCAGAGGAGCTCTAGCCCCGTGGACGCGAGGCGCACAGAGCGGGCCTGGCTTCGCCGGTGCCCTGAAGTCACTGAGCAGACGCACTTTAGAAAATGCCAACAGCACCGGCTTCAGCATTCGAGGGCCCCGGAGGAAAATGGAAATGCAGGCTCCTTGTGCAAATGTTATGAGGAGTCAGGATGGTGACCCCGGAGTGTTAAACCAAGCGCGGCACCCTCAGGGCCACGGGGTCCTCTGCACCTGTGCAGAGGGTGCCCATCCCGACTCCCCGCCTCCGCTGGCAGCCGCCCTGGCGCTGAGTTACAGGCCCCCGGACGCTCTCCATTCAGCTTCAACTTTGTGACATTATGACAGTAAACTGCGAACTTCAAGGACCACCTACACATAACCCCGGTCCTTTCTGGGGTAACACTTCCTGCCAGAGGTATCTGGGCCTGCGTCTAGGGTTTACAAAACACAGAGGCAGGGTGGACACGGGCAGAGAGAGAGACCGCTCTGATTGCCTGTGCCAGGGTGGGATTGGACCGGGAGGCGGCCCTTTCTCAGACATGTGGCAGGACCACCCCCGTCGCCCTCCGACAGACGCTGAGGCTGTGCAGAGAGGGACGGTTGGAACTAGCGCACTGCAGAGAAGACTCGCCCATCCCCCCAGCCACAGACACCAGACAGGGGCTCTCCGCGGCCTGTCCGCCGTAATTGTTGGCGGCTGTCCCTTGCGCTCCTGGAAGGGACTGAGCGCAGGTGGGCTCTCTCCCGGGCAGGGACGCGCGTGCCCCCGCACACTCACGGCTGGCGTTCTCCAGCCGGACCAGGCAGATGAGGAATTCGTCGAAGCCCAGTTGGAGGTCCTCGTCCGCGTACCTGAGAACGATCAGCTGCAGGAGGGGACGGCTCAGCTGAAAGCCTGTGGGCAACAGAGAGGGGCAGCCTGGCTGAGTCCCACGGATGCATCGTCGGGAGCGCCCGTCAGCTGAGGGGCGAGAGAATGAGAGGGAGCCCCGGACCGGTCTGAATGCGGGGTGACAGTGCCTGTTTTTGTTGGGGGGCAGGGGTGCAGGCGCAGTCACAACTGCCCCTTCTGAGTTTAATGAGCTTGGGGCCTTGGTTTTGAGGCCAGCCTTACCCGTGGTGCCTTGCTGGCTTTTCAAGAAGCCTCAAGGGGGGACTGAACCCTGGGCAGTGTCTGACCCCGCTCCCACCCCCACGCCAGCCTCCTGTGTCTGAGTTCTGTGTCTGAGCCCACGTCCAGCTGTGCCTCGGCTCCTGCTGGGGGCTCCGGCCGTGACACCTGCAGTGAGCGGCGATGTCTCAAGGACATTTTAACTTGAAGGTATTGGGCTAGAAATCGCATTTCTCAAAGAATGAAATCTTAGCATTTGTGACAACATGGAGGGACCTCAGGGGCATTATGCTAAGGGAAACGAGCCAGAGAGAGACAAATGCCGTATGATGTCACTTATATGTGAATCGAAAGAATGAAATAAATGAACAAACAAAAGGGAAACCGGCTCGCAGACACAGAGGAGAGGCGCTGCCTTACCTGCGGCTTTCAGGGCGGTCCGCAGCTCGTAGGAGGACATGGTGCCGGACCTGTCGGCGTCGAACTGAAGGAACAGGTCCTGTGGGAGGACGGCAGAGGCAGTGAGAACCACGGTGCCCCGGAAGGCGCCTTCGAGGCCGGCACCTGGGGGCCGGCCAGCACAGGAGGGGAGGCAATGGCTGGGAGGGCCCGCAGAGGGAGGTGGTCCTTTTGTTTTCTTTCCATCTGGGCCGATGCACTGAGCTACTGCTGTAATAGTGTGTGCTGGAGTCCCGTCCTGGTTTCCCCGCTCTGCCCGCTCCTGCGCCGGGCTTGTACGGTCCCTAGAGGCCATGTGCTCCCCGGGTCACATACTGTCCACGCCTTCAGCTTGTCCCAGAACACCTTGAATTCATCGAACTCCAGCTTCCCGTTGCCGCTGGTCTGTGCCGAATGCGTTAGGGAAAACGTGAGCAGGCTTCAGCCTGAGGCTCCTCCTGCGGCAAAGGGCTGGCGCGGTCACCAGGAGGTCGCAGGTTGAGGGCTTTGAGGGAGGTGGTTTAGTGAATAAACTGTGAGTCTCTGAAGAGGGGACGTGGCACGGGTGAAATGGCCGTGGCATCGAAAGGTTTGAAAACACACCAAAACCCCTTCATTCCTTTACATGGGTCCCCAAAGTAGCACCAAGATCCCAAGTTCCCTCAGAAACATTCCCATCCTTGGACAGTCTGTCTGTGCCTTTGGCTCTGTCCCAGTTCTAGTACCAGGGGGCTCCCTGGCTGGTTCCTCCTGGGAAGGGGACCATCCTGCTAGGTGGGGGTGCCGCCCTCTAGCAGACACTTAGCACCCACGTCTGCCCACGTGTTGGGAAGGATACATCCATTAGCGAAATGATATTTTTACAGGAAACCAGGCTGAGCTGCTTGAATCTGATGCCCTTTTCTGAAATGACACATGAAAGCAGAATTCAGGTCACCCCTGAAAACGTACCCCATTCCCTCTGTGGCAAGTCCGATGACGTGGTTAGATCGGGGGGTGGGGGGTGCTGACATGTCGCCCCCTTCAGATGCTGGTGGCAGTGGAAGTTGACATGGCCTTTTGGGCGGGAAATTTGCAAAATATGAAAAAAGCCTTGTAAATGGGACTATCCTTTCATCCATTTGCTAGTTTTAAAAGTCCCAAGCAGAGAACTACCAGTTAAAATTTTCTCATCAAGTTATTTATAATGGCAACAATTTAGAAATGATACAAATGGCCAATGGAAGGGCAATAAATTATGTCCACGTGATAAATTATTAGTGTCACGCAATTCTGAAGGATCACATTTCCGAAGCATATTTAATACCCTGGGAAACTGGAGAAATTTGAACACCTATACGCTGCCAGTAGAAACGTAAAAGTTGCTTGGGAAAATAGCTGGGTATTTCCTTGGAACATTAAAGATAGAGTTGCCACGTCACCCAGCCATTCTCTCAGCCATATCCCCAGAGAAATGAAAGCGCGTATCCTCACAAATAACTTGTACACGGATGTTCAGGGCAGCAAAGTGGCCGCCACCTAAGCGTCCATCAGAGGGGGAACACGTGAACAGAACGCGGTGGGTTCAGGCAGTGACTGTTAACCAGCTCTTCAAAAAAGGAAGGAAGCGCCGACACACGCTCCAACATGGGCCACGCTTGAACACGTTATGCTGAGTGAAAGGAGCCAATCAAAAAGGACCACGTATCACGTCAATCCTTCTACACAGGAAAGCCCAGAATGGGCAGATCTATGGAAACAGGGAGTCGAGGCGCATGTGCCAGGGGCTGCGGAAAATGGCTGCTGGGTACAGGCTTCTTTCTGCAGTGACAGATGCTCTAAAACTGATTGGAGTGAGGGCAGCACACGTCCATGAACTGGCAGAAACCACTGGATCGGATGCTTTAAATGGGCGAACTACACAGCCTGAATTATATCTCAGGCTGATGTACTGGAATATAAAACTGTGTCTATAATTCAATACTAATTGTGTGTGTACAAATACACACAGACTACATATATCACACACATATGCAAAGACAGTGGTTAACAGTGATGATGGGTGGCGAGATTATTGATGATTTTACCTTTGGCATTAGGCTTTTCTGCACTTTTCAGAATTTGCTAACATAAACCTGCATCATTTCTGTGATCAAGCAATGAAAGTTTTTAAAAGTCTGTCTAACGTCAGCCCTGAAAAGCAGGTCTGGGGCCCCGAGGAGCAGACAGCCTGGGGGCTGGGACCCAGGCCCCCTCCCCGGAGCCCTGAGGTCCCCGACTCGGGAAGGGGGGCGGCACTCACTCTTTCGCAGCTCAGCGTTTAAAACATGTCTGAGTTCCTCTGCAGTCACCTCCATGTCCTGTTAAAGTGGAGAAAATGACTTTCTATGGCCTTTGCAGTGAGTCTTCAATCTGAGCTTGATTTGGCTCAAGTGACAGCCGGCTCTCAGGAGCCTGTGGCAGGCCCAGGTCCATGTCTCCTGCGGCTCAGCCCACTCACTCCTCGGGGACCTGCCATTCAGCCTAGAGAAGGCGGAGAAAACTGGGCCAGGCCAGGCTGCTTCCCGGTCCCTGAGCTCAGGCTCCCACGTGACCCTTAGGTCGGAGGCCACGTGGGTCCGAGCCCCGATTCCCTGCGTGGCAGCGCACCTGGAGAACACGGAAACGCCCCTGCGCACATGGGCGGGAGGTACGCCGGGCACCAGTTCCATCAGGAGACCTGCCAGTGTGGCTCTTGTTTTCAGAAACTTCAGGAGTGAATTTCAGAACCACTGACCCAGGGCGCTCCTTTAAGTCCTGCTAAACCTCAGCCCCCACAGTGCTGAGAAGCTCGTGAGGAGAGCAGAGCCCTGGCCCACCCTCCCACGTGTCCTGGAGGCCCAGCCGGCGGTCGTGCACGTGGCAGGCTGGGCAGCGGGACTTAGGCCCCCTTTAGCCCAGTGTGTTGAACCAGCGCACCAGCCAGTTACCGGTGGAGTTACTTTCACAGACGTCTGCCCAGGCTCCATCCCCAGGGCTCCTGAGGCCTAGGGGTTGGGCAGTTGGGGGTTGGGGATGTTCCGCCCCAGTGAGGAACCCCTGATCCAGCCCACGCGCCCATGGAACGGAGGAGCCAAGCGCCCCAATGTCCATCCGGCTGGTGGGAAGCTGAGCAGGGCTAGACCCGGAATTCCCCCGGCGCCTTCAGTTTTGATAAAGTTGAGGGCCTCTCCTGCTGCAGCGCCCCTTCCCATCCTAGCCTGGATCTCTACTTCTGGCAACTTCCTCGCTCCCCACAACCCCCCTCCACTCCCCGCAGGTGCTCGCAGGCCAGTCCTTCAGGTGGGGAGTTTGCTCCCGCCTGCGCCCTCACCTGCTCCCTGCACAGGGCTGCAGTTTGCCCTGCCCCCGCCTGCTGTGGTTTGACAGAGCCCCACGCGCCCCCACCTTTCTCTGCCCCAGACCATGGTCCCCAAGTCACCCTGACCTGTCAAAGTGGGCCGGTACCCCCAGGTTTAGGTGTCTCTTTCTGACCATTCAGGAGCTCGGTCAGGGATGGGAAGCTAATGCAGTCATTAGCTTCTTGCCATGACCTGGTTACCAGGATAACTTTATTCATGGCTACCAACTGCGAGGCTGCACGGGGACTCGGATGGGGCAGTGTCTAGAAGGACGGAGGCCTGCGCAGGGACAGGGAAGACCCTACGAGCAAGCTGAGTGACAGAGAGCGCGGGGATGGGGCCGAGGAGCAAAGGGCAGACTCTCTTCTTCCCTGGTGGCCCCGGCGGCCCTGGGGTTAAGGGGCAAGATGCCTGTGTGTGCTTATAATTTAACAGTGGACTGAACATCCCGTTCAGACAGGGTGGAGAGAAGGCCGCGATTTCCAGGCGGAGTTCCAAGGAGCGGCCCGGGGCAGGCTTCCTCCACGGGTCTGCGCCCCTGCTGGGCACAAGGGTGCCAGTGGTGCGGTGGGGGAGGCTGGCTGTCGCGGCCTCTCAGGACCACGGCCCGGTCTCACTTTGCGACTAGCACCCCCCACCCCACCCCAGCCTGGGCACCCAGCCTCTGGGAAGCGTTGCTGACGAACCTCCCTGCCACCAAGACCCTGGGCCGAGGGCATCGCGGGGACCAGCGCCCGGCAGCCACAGCGGCGCCTCACCTCCCCGGCGACGCGTTCGAACAGGGCCCTGAACTGCTGATGCTCCTCCGTCTCCTGGCTCCGTGGCGTCGGCCTTGGAGGCTGAAAAGGAAACAGGGGCGCTCACCCTGGAGACACAGAAAAGGCAGCGGCACCCGCTTTCCCTTAGAAAGAGCAGGAAAGAGGAGGCCCAGCGGGAGGACCTCCCAGCCCTGTGACATGTGTGCTGCTCAGGGGGGCCCGGGACTGGCCCTGCCGGGGACACTAGGAGCGCTGGCGCAATTCCTTGTGGAGGCTCCTTGGAAGGAGCGTCAGAAGGGCCTGTCCGCGGCCGGGCTGGGACCTCCTGGCTGCACAGAGGAGGCGCTAGAGGAGGCGCTAGAGGAGGCGGACTCCGACGGAGTTAGGCCCGGCCAGCGCAGCCTCCGCCCCGCTGCACTTGCTCCATCTCCTCTGCCGCCGCTCTGCACCCTGGTCTGAAACAGCTGCTCAGTGCGTCGGCGCTGGGCGTTGAGTCTCACGGGCAGGAGTCTGTTCCTAGTGTGGAGCGCATGTCCAGGTGCCTGGGAAGCGCTCAGCAAGCGTTTGTCTGTTTTGTTTCGGGGCCGTTAGTAGCCCAGCGAGGGCAGCGAGGGCAGCGAGGGCAGCGCGGCCCTTCTGAGAGCTGATGGCTGCTCCTGGCGGGCGTCAGGCTGTCCCGGCTACGTCTGAGCGCCCGGGAAAGTCTCACAGCCGTGGGACAAGCAGAACACCGGCCCCCGCTCCTCCAACATGCAACGCAGGGAAGAAGTAACAGGGACCCGATGTCCTCAGTGGAAGAATCTGCCGCCTCTCTCATTTTCTTTTTATTGATTATTTCTCTAAAATTGACTACATTTTAAAGCTATCCCGTCCCGTCTGGAAGCAGCAGCTGCTGCTCAGGGAACAGAGCGAGTGGGAAGCACAGAGATCACTCCAAAGAGCTTTCTGCCAGGCACCGACCCGGGTCCCCTGCCCGGCCCTGCTGGGTGAGGAGGTAGGAGGTGCTCACCCGACCGCAGGTAACCACTCCCTGAACGTCTGAGGTTTCTGTGACGCTTTGGTTGCAAGGACAGGCTCCAGGACAGCCACCCAGCCCCACCCTCGAGTAACACGAGAAGGCTCACCTCAGGAAGCTCGACGTTTACGTCTCCGTCCAGGTCCCTGTGGAGGCAGAAAACACGCTGACCCAAGAGTGTGTCAACTTCCTCATTAGGACCTGCCACACCGCAGGGCCCAGCGGTGGTGGGACGTTCTGTCCCACCAAAGCCCCGCTTCCCAGGGCCGTTGCCATTTCACCGGGGGCACAGACCCCAGGCGCGGACCCTCCCCTCGTCGCTCAGAGCCCGCTCCGCACGGAAACAAGGGCGCGGCCGGGCCTGCGCCCCAGGAGAACGTGCCCGTTCTGGGTTTCTGGAAGGAAAAGCTACGCTGCAGTCAGCCCTATTTCCTGGGCGCGCGTTAACGGGGGCATTTAGGAAGGGTTATGTAGGACAGGGGGTCTCCGAGGCCCTGAGGGCCGAGGAGTGTCATCGCGCTGCCCATAAGCCGTGTGTCGCCAAAGGAGACCGTGGCCATTGGGGACGGCCATGTCGCTGCTGCGGGTTAAACATTCGTGGGGGGATTTTAACGACTATAGAGCAAATTGGGTCGGAATAAAAAAGAGCGTGCCCGAAACGCCCCTCCCCAGGGCAGTAAATCCCTGACCCCACTGGGGGCGGCGTGGGGGGCGTGGGCTGAGGAGCTGCGCGTGGGGAAAATGCTGGACGGGCGCTTGTTTTGCTGTCCCGCGTTCAGGGGAGCGCAGTGAACGGGAAGCAGGGATACGGAGGGGAGGGGAGGCGTCCGCTGTTGTTGATCCCGCGAACACCCAGAAGAACCCAGTCTTAGCGGGTAAAAGCAGAGCCCTCCCGAGGAAAGTCTGCCACAAATGCGAAGGGAGCACGAAAGAGCAGGCATTAGGATGGAGCCCGCGGGACCCTCCCTGTCCCCTCATCCCGTGGGCCCAGGACGGAGCCTTTCAGGGCGCTTTTATTGTTCTTTAGGACCCTCCCACGAGGACTGAACCGGCGGGCACAGAGCTCCCTGCGCCTCTCCTTACGAGCTGGTCCTGTGCTCGTAAGGTGTCACAGCAGTTGAAGGTTCCCTGCTCAGGAAGCGTGAGTGGGGAGCTGGCTCTGCATGTAGAGGCCGAGGGCTGTGGCGGAACCCACTAATGGGACAGGCAACACCGAGTGCAGGATTGGCACGGCCGGCGTGCGCTCTTGTTCTTGCCGCCCACAGAAGTCGCCAATCGGCATGGATCCCGTTTGGGATGCTTCCCTGCGCACAGATCCTGGGAAACGCGTGCTCAGCTTGTACTAGTGTCTGGGAGGAGACCGAAGGACAACTTTCCAGCAGAGTTTTTAAAAATTAAAGATGTCATTGCTTCCATTTAGCTGACGGGAAAGAGCCACGCCTTTTGTAATCAGCTCGGGAAACCGGTGAGACTTTGGAATTGGAAGTATTCTGCGTGTACGCCACCGATCCAGTTCTATCCCGCCAAACAAAAGATAAAACTATGTAGTCACAGGCTGTGTCGCCACGGCTGTCTCTACCCTGTTAGCTGAGGTTGTCCTTTGTAGGGGCCTGATCTGGCTTAAACACAGAATTAAGTCGATTCTGCCATTCTCTGCAATCCCTACAATGTCTGCGTTGGAAAAAGAAGCGGACTCTCGTATCTCAAACCATTTTTTTTCCCTCTGCTACAGAGCAACCACTGGGGAATGGGCAGTAACAGGATTTTTTTTTTTTCCCACAGAAGCACCTGATACAAAGTAACTTTGTTAAGACACCACCCAGGAGATGGAGAACGTGAAGTATGTCCAAGGGGGGGAAGAGTCACTGACATTTATTTCAAGCGGAGCTGTAAGAACATGTCATTCTTGAAACTTGCAATAGCGCCTCGCCTTCCCCGTGCACAGAACTCAGTCCAGCATCCCTACATGCGGTGCCCCCTCCAGAAGCATCTTGGTAAAAAGATCTGGAAAATGAAGGGCCCCACCCTGGGAGCAGTTGGAGAGAGGAACTTTTTAATGGCTGGTTTGAAGGGAGGAGGAGCGGAACGCAAATGGAAACGTATCCTGTTTTGCAAATGGGCTAAGAAAGCCTCCCGCCTGGTTTCCCGGGGATGTCAAGGAGGCATTGAGGGAAAGGGATTCCAGCACCCGTTACTCACTGGGTGATGGCTTTCTTCTCGGAAAAGATCCTCACACAGAAATCGGCTTCTTGATGGGGCTCAAAGGTGCTGGGAATCAGGATGTATTGCCCGGGGGGCAGCTTGAACCTGTCGGAGACTTCTCTGAGGTTGACGAAGGTTTTGCTCCTGGCCTGGGAAGCGTGGTACCGGAAGAAGTCCTTGTTCAGGTGCTCCTCTTTGCCCGGGCACTGCAATGGGAAAGGCAGGGGTGGTTGTGGCTATTTGGACGCGGTGTGGGGACTGGCCGTGCGGTCTCAGGCGTGAGGCTGAGGAGGAACGGAGAACGTAGAGCTCCGATGGAGAACCCTGCGGAACCATTGGCTCCCACCCACCTGGTAAATGGCATAGCCGATGGTCAGCACGTTGGCGCCAAACCTCTTGAGTTTCCGCCGGTCCTTCTGCATCAGAGCCACGAGCAACGTGCACCCATCCTGCCCGTCGTCTTTCTCAGTCAGGGACAGCTTTATTTGTGGGTTGGTCCAAAAGGTGTCTGCCATTCGAAGGAGACAGATTACTTGTCCTCCTTTTGAAAAAGCACGAGGGACACCCACACCCACACACACACACCCCATCTCACCCCTTCCTCCCAAAGCGGAGAAGATAACGTCTCCCCTCCCTATTCCGGTCGCCCTGTTGCCCTGCTTTCTCGAACCCCTGTGGGGATGCAGCGTTCTTCCGCTCATTTCCACCTTCTTCGGAACCGCGTCCCTTCTTGCGGGGCCAGCTGGCTACCGTGTATGTGCCACTGGACTATTCCCCTTCGACACTTCAAAGGGGAGGGCAGCGCGCCTGTGGCTGGGCAAGTCGAGCTGAACCAGCCTCCCTCCCAGCTCTAGGCGTGAACTCCGAACTCGGGTCGGTCTAGGCAAGCCCCTCTCTTGCCACGCAAATTGGAACGAGGCGAACCAGCCCTTCACCAGGCAGGACTGGTTTGAGGAATTCCCAGTTAGAAGGAAGTGGAAGACTTTTCTTTAATGACACTTAGGAGCTCTTGCTGTGACTATAAAGAAAGCCAGATGCGGGAAGAAGCAAGCAAAGAAAAGAGGGCAGGACAGAGAATTGCAAACAGGTGACAGATCTATGCTCGAAGGCCACCCTACTTCTCTGAACTTCTCTGTTACGCTGGACAATAAGCCCTTTTTATTGCAGAACAAGTGTGCAGTTGTGTGTTCTATCGCTTGTAATGGAAAATAACCTAAGTGGTAAAACAAGGGTGTTTCCCTGAGCAGCTCTTGCCCCGCTTCCTCCCAAGTCATCTCTGCCCTCTGCAGTCGTGTGGGACATCCTACTGGCTAACCCCCCGGGGCAGGTTTTCTCTCGGGCCCTGGCCCTGATCCACTGACGTCCCTGGGTTGGGCTGGACCCTTGGGGATGACAGAGAGGGTGGCGGGCAGACTACCCACCCAGGAAGTTGCGGCAGCCCCCGGCCGTGGAGCCCCGCACCCAGCTTCCTTGGTGGACCGTCACCTCCCATTTGTGCAGAGCGTCCTCCTCCAGGGCATCGGGCGTGAGGTTGCAGACCTCTACTTTGTCAAAATGGGCCTTAAAGTCGCTAAATGCCATCCTGCAACAAAGTGGAGGGACACAGCGCGTCGGTGGCGGCGGCGATGGCGTGACTCTGTCATCCACTCGTCCGACAGACGGTGCCCGCTCCTGTCCTCACGGAGTGGGAAGACCGCAGGTGAGGGGAGACAGAAAATATGCACACAAGACTTTAGAGAAGGATTAGAAAGGTAAAGGAAAAAAGTAAAAATAGAGGTTGATGATATCTAAGGGCTACAAAGCAAATGAAGTCGGGTGAGGGAGGAGGGCGCAGGGAGGGGCGCTAACAGGGAAGTAAGTTAGGGGCCGCCTCGCCGGCCAGGTGTGGAGGCCCAAGGACCCTTGGCCTGCTGGCCTCCCGCTGTGGCTTTCCGCGCTTCCTGCCTTGTTCTCCTTTCTGCCAGGCTTGAGGCATCCGAGTAGCCTCTCAGCGCCTGGCTCCTACCCGCCGCTCACCTGCGGCAGTTTGTGTGAGGGCGCTCCTTGCCGACCTCTGCGTTTTTCCTGCAAGTTTTGCTCTTGTCGTCTAACTCCTTAACCCAGAGCCTGGGCACTCAAAATTTCAGGGAACGTTGTCTCTAATTCCCAACTCCACAGCTTGTCAACTCTCAAATACTCTGCCAGGTTTCCACAATTTTTTCTGCTTTTGACTTCATGGCTCCCGAGGCAGAGGTGGCTGGCACGTCAGCGAGGTGCACCCACCGGAACGGGGCTCGGGCTGCACGCACCCCGCCCCCTCTGCCGCGGGTGGGAGGCAAGAAGTGATGTGTCCCTTCTGGGTCCAGGCTCTCAGGAAGTGGGGATGTCTCCTCCAATCTTGCCTTTTCTCCGCTGCTACTGGCTTTCTGCAGATGACACTGTGACCCAGGGGGAGGGGAGCCACACAACAAGAAGAGCTTGGGTCCCTGAATCACCGCCTGGAGGCAGCCACCACAGAATAGGAATGGCCTCCTGGACTGTCCCCTCACAGCCGGTGAGGAATCACCTTGATCGCATTTGTGTCTTTATACATTTTGAGTCTATTTGCGACAGCAGCTGGTGTTACCCCGAGTCACTGGCCATTGAAGTACGGAGCCACCGTAACAGAATTCTAAATATGTGATACCTGCTTAGCCACTGGGCAAGGGGTTGGAGCTGGGAAACAGATATCCACGCTATGAATGGCAAAATACTTGCTAAAACTGTTGCCTGCAAACAAATGGAAGCCAGCGCGGTGAAGTGCCCGCCGGGCTGTGCTCTGCGGGGAAGAATGGAAAAAGCTGAAATACGAGTGTATGCTGGTTTTCGCTTGTTGTAGTTACTAGCTGGTGTTCTAAGAAAGAGATAACCTTAGGCAGGAATTGACTGGCTTAAGCACGGGACAGGGTGGAGGGTCAGACCAGAGGGCAGACCACGTGGCCTCGCAGGGGGAGGAGCCAACTGCTTCTGGGCCCCACAGGAAGAACTAAGACCTAAAAAAGCCTTCTGGAATAAAGGCCCAGTACATTTTTTTTGTTGTTGTTTAACTCGAGCCAAGTAGAATCAGAGGCAGAGGAACCTGGAACAGACTGACAGCTGAAGTGGGGGAGGGGGAATGGCTGAAGCAGGTGGAGGGAGTAGACAAAGAACAGCCGTGTGCACCACCGCGGCCAGGACGGGAGTGGGGTGGCTCCAGGGGGCGCGGGCGGGGCTGGGGGTAGCAGGCCAAGAGGCCAACAATAAAATATGATTAATTTTTTGTAAACAATAAAAGAATTGATATTAATTTCTTTTTCATTAAACAAAGGGTTTCGGTCTAGGTCAGGCAAAGTCCCTTCTCACTTAGGGGTGTGTCTTTAGATGCTCTCAAGATAAGTGCCTCCGGGGGCCCACCTCCGAGGCAGGCCGCAGGGAGGACCCCGTGAACCCCTGGGCCGTCGGCCCTCAAACTCCCTGTGCAGACTCGGGGGGCTTGGGGAGGGGGCTGGAGGCGGGAGGCCGCCTTGAGACCCAAACAAGCCTGGAGATGGGGTGAGTTCCCCGAAACAGAGCAGATTACGTCCTCTGCCAACCGGGGTGTATAGAAAGGGCTTGAGGCGGGATTATTTGATTTACTGTGAATAAATAAATAAGCAATAAATAAATGAAGGAGAAAATGAAGAAAGAGACAAAGGTTGTGCTCCTTGCACCCGAGGGCCGTGCGGCTCGCCCACACCCGTGGGGCGGCTCACACGGAAAGGGACCCGGGGACAGCACTGTACCAGAACTCTCCGTCGTCGAGAGCGGTGTGGCGCAGGCGCTGCTGCTCGGCTGGGCTGACGGCTCGCCACTCGGCGGAACTGGGAGCAAACACAGTCGGCGTTAGGGGGCGGGTCACAGGCGGCAGCCCCCACGGCAGCCCGGGGCGGGGCGGCCCTCCCCCAGGAACCGCCTGTGCGCACGGAGGGAGCGGACCCTGGTCAGCGGCTCCTCACTGGGCCCCAGAGGCCTGCCAGGGGGCCTAGAGGCTGGCCAGCAGCCGATGGAGAGAGGCCCTCAAGACCGCCGCCCCCACTCCATGGGCCGTGATCACGGAACCGTCGCAGGGAAGCAGAGACAGCCCGACTGGACGCCTCAAATGGATCGAAATGCGTCACCTGGAATGCTTGCCTGACTCTCCTCTTCGTTTATAAGCTGACCCTTTGAAAAGTGTAACAATTCCTTATGCTCAGCCACACTTGCCACTTAGCGGGCCAAGTGCCGTCTTTACCTGACCTGTCCAGGGAGCCAGCTAGGATTCATGCCTGTCTGTGCACGAGGGGACTCAAGGGAACAGCCTGCAAGTCCACTGCGTCTCTCCGGCCCCACAGCTGTCTCCAAATGGGTCAAACTGAGTCACCGGCGCTGCGGTGCTGTAGTCAAGCTGGCCACCTCATCCACCCCTGCGGATCTTGACCTGAGGTGGCCGGGGGGGGGGGGTGGCGGCTGAGGAGGAACATCTCTCCGGTCCATGGTGCCAGGGTTGGAACGGCAGGACTAAGAGCCATGCTTTCCTGCCTGAGCCATTATCTCCTAAGAGCGCACACGCTGAGAACGGCGGGCGGGCGGGTGCTCGGAACAGGCGGGGGCAGAGCCGGGGGTCAGGGTGGGGGTCGGCCCTGTCGCCTCGAGGCTGCGTGGCAGCCGGAGACAGGCTTGACTCCAGCCTGGACTCCGCGAAGACGCACTGTTCCAGCTTTGCGCTCTGCGCTCTTTGTGCTTCCCAGGAGGAGGCCGAGATGGCCCCGCCCCTTGCAGACCACGCCCCCTGAAGAGAGGGGCTCGGCAGGTCTGCTCCTGATGGGAAGCAGCCCTATTGAAATAAAGTAGTTTCAATGTTCCTCTCTCTCCATTTCCACCAGGAGAGGGAAGCCCATCTCTTTTTCTCTTTTGTGTTGGTCCTCGAGGCATGTGCTGCGTCCCCAGGCTGGAGCCTGGTTAATAAAGCCACCGACATTCGGATGGTTGTGACCTGGTGGCTTCGTCTGAGCTGAGGACCACTCAATGTGACTCTAGTCCTCCTAGATTTGCTGCTGGGCCCCCCAGGGCCCCCCGAGCTGTCAGTGGGGGCAGGGTGGGGGGAGACAGACAGTCAGCTCCAGGTGGGTGCTGCCCGAGCACAAGGGAGCACCCCGATCCCAGTCACCTGGGCCACTTCCTGAGGGGCGAGGAGGGGACGCATATCAGAAAGGCGGACCTTTCTTTTAACTGGGCGCCAAATAAATAACCCTGGTTAACTGCTCTGTAATGGATGGATTTCCTGTTCCGCTTCCTTTGACTCTCTCCCGAGCCACTGGGGCTCTGGCTAGTGGCCAGTGACCATCAGAAAGAAGACCCAGGTGACCTGCTTGGCTATATTGCAGGGATTCTCACACCAGAAATACTCACTGCCACCCCACCCTTGGCATGCGCGCACACGTGTGCACACACAGGCACTGCTTACTGGAGCTGCTCATATCTGGAGATGAAGCCTGTTACGATGAAAAATCCCCACGGGAGCGCCTGCTCGCACTGACAGAAATGTCATTACAGGAAAGTTAAAGGGAAGCGCTAGAGTCGTCCTTGAGAATCAAGTCTGCCAGCAGGGGGCGCCAAGGGCTGGAGCAAGGTGCCCTGACGCAGGACAGGGCCCTGAATAAGCGCCAGGAGAGAACTGCAGACAGCCTGCTCCTCCTTCACAGCCTGCTCCTCCTTCACAGCCTGGCGCAGGCCGGCCTGGCCCCATGTGCCCCGCGGACGGTGAGAAGGGGGATCCCCCTGAGAGAAGGGGATGGGGACTGACCTGTCACTCCAGGGCCCGTTCCATTCGACCTGGCCCCACGGGTTCCGCACTCTGATGAGCTTGGTTTTCTGGCCTCGGAAGTTTAACTAGAAGAAAAAGCACCGGGCTAGTGTGAAATGACAACTTCATCCACGAGCTCCAGCCAGGCCTGGCTTTACCGAAAGCCTCTCGACTAGGGTAACACGCTAAAGACATGCCAAAACTCATCGGTTCTTCACTAGCCCTGGGAACTCCCTAAGTCCTAGCGAACATAACAGCTCACGTTACCAATGATGTTATATTAATCGCCCCAGACCAGTGATGCCGAGTCTGGGGAATTGAGTAGAACTGATGAACAAGTAATGAGTCCACGCGAGTCTTCAAATGAGTGTTTTCTCTCTAGACTGGTCTCTCCCTAGAGGAAGGGGCTTATTTATCTGTGTGTCCTCGGCACCTGGCATAGTGACTGGAGAATTCTCATGCACTATTACAGTCACGTGCGCATAACATTTCAGTCTCCAACGAGCCGCATATGCGAGGTGGTACACCCTGTGGCCTAGGTGTGCAATAGTCTACACACCACCCAGGTTGGCTCACTCTATGATGTTCGCACAACGACGAAGAGCCTCACTACGCATGTCTCAGAATGTATCTCCTTTGATAAGTGGCTCACAACTGTACTGAATTTTCTTCATCCTTAGCATCTTACTCACAGGTGAATGATAAGAACATAAACACATACTGGGAAAATAAACAACAATAAGCAAAATCACTTCTCAGTCTTCTAACTCCAGTTATGCTCATTAGGGTCTCTGCTGTCCACACGGAGGACCCTTGAGCCAGTAAAGAAAGATGCTTCGGCCGTGACTTCCGTCCTGCTCGGCAGCAGGAAAGGGACTAGTGCATTTTACAAAGATTCTGGAGGGAGGAGGGTGGGAGTAATTCAGCAGCTGCCAGACATCTTAGCTCTCAGAACAGCGTGTCCCCATGCGTTTGGCACAAATTGTATTTTTGATGAGGAAACATAATTTGTCAGAATAACCTCTCCAATGCACCATTTCAGAGGGTCGCTAATTGAAATGAGCAGGGAAGGTAAAGTCCTAGAAGGTGGAGAAAAGCAAACGCAATTGAACAGAATGTCATATGAGCTGGAGAGTTTCTTTGGTTCCTTGGAATAATATTTAGAGCCAACATTAAAAACCACAGGCCTACTCCATTGAGCGACTTGCTGGGCCTGTGAGGAAGGCGGAGGAAAGGAGCCAACGCAAGTAGTCACAATCCTGAGTGCTCGGGGGCAGCGCCGCCTTGACCTCGTCTCAGGATCCCCAGGGACGGGGAGGACAGGTGCTTCCTCCCGCCCTCGCTCTCCCGCTCAGGTGGAGCGCGCTCGAAGCGTGGGCAGCAACTGGTAGAGGCCAGGAGTGCCTGTGACTTGTCCACGGACTGAGTGGGCCACGACAGACCTTTGGACTTCACTGGACTTGAACCTGAGAAGGTGTAGCGGTGGCTTCTTGTCTTCCTCTTTCTTCATCCTCTGCCCTTCTCGTTCCCACGTGTCCCTCGAGGAGTTCCCTTCCAAACTGGAGCCCTCAGTAGGTGGGCCTCAGGGATCAGTTCTACCCTGGACTTGTGACAGACAACTGGTTTTGTCGTCAAATTGACTGGGTCACGGGGGACCCAAATAACTGGTTATTCATGATTCTGGGTGTGTCTGTGAGGAGTTTTAGGATGCGGTTTTTTGATTCAGTAAAGACGGCAGCCGTTCCCCAATGCTGGTGGGGCCCCTCTGATCGGCTGAAGGTCAGAATAGAACAAAAAAGTGGAAAAAGGAAGAATTGGCGCTCTCTGCCTGAGTACAAGCTGGAACTTTGGTCCCCTCTGCCCTTGGACTAGGGCTTATATAGCATTGCTTCCCCTGGGCTCCTGGTCCTTGGGCCTTTCTTTGCACTTGGACTAGGACTGCGCCGCCAGCGTGCCAGCTAACAGATGGCAGAGCACAGGGCTTCTCAGCCTCCGTGACCCCAGGAGCCGACCCCTCATGGTAAATCTCAACCTCTCTTTCTCTATTTCTCTCTCCCGCTCTCCCTTTAGCTCTGCCTCCTACCGGTTCTGCTTCTCTGGAGAATCCTGACTGTCACGGGACCGGAATCAGGGAAGGAAAGAAAAAGCAAAGACCAGGTTCTCACACCTGCTAAGCACGTTAGGTGCCACGGGGGGGGGGGGGGGGGGGGGGGGCGCCTGTTTCTCTCGTTCCTGCTTTACTGTTTTGCATTCCAGCCTGGCTCTTTCAATGAGACCTTCTCTGAAACGTCTGAAAGCAGGTTTAAACTGTAAGGCACTAAGTGAGCGTAGGGGACTAGCATTGTTGAGTCTGTCCTTGTTCCTCGTCAACAGGGGTTCAAGTCACCTACCCGGTCAATTCCTGTCACAGTGTAGGCATGACCCTTAATAAGACCAAATGGTGTCCGGGCTTCTGATTCTGCAGAATTTCTGATCTGAAACACAAAAGAGCAGTGTTGGACCCATTGTGTAAGTCAAGCCCGAGCTCCCCAGCCGGATGGCGCTCCAGGCCCAGCCCCCCGTCTCCTGTTCCCTGAGGTGAGGGCTCTGTGCCCAGGACATATGAAATGGGTACACAGGGCACACTCAGGTGCTTAGCAGAGACATTCGGCAATTCCCAGTCTCTTCCAGGTGAGGAGACCCTAGCAATCAGTTTACTTTGTGCCTCCAAACAGAACAGCTTGCTGACCCATCCCGTAGCAGCATGAGAGAGAAGCACGATCGCATCCACCAAAGAGGTGATGAGAAGCCCTTGACAGTGGCACATACACCTCTGTGTCACCAACTGGAAGACACAGGGAAGCAGATTATTTACTAGCAGAGAGCGAAGTCTCAAGAGGAAATAGAAAACTTGAGCAGGTTTCAAAAACACATGAGGTAAAATTATGTGTGTGCTTGTATATATAAAAATTCTTAAAAAATGCTGTCAGCTTTCTGTCGACTGATACGTTTTTTCAGGATATATGAAGCAAAACAGACAGGTTTCGGAAAAGTATATAGAACGAGCCCCCGTAGTGAAACCAAGCCGCCCCGCCCCTGTTTGTGTGCACATGCGCGTGCCCTTTCGTGTGAGCAAGGAGGTGTGAAGGGCGCGTGCCGCGGGCCCCAGGGGCGGTGCGAGGGCAGGGAGACAGAAGCGTGCCTTTAGCTGTCTCAGGGTCGTCGCCCCGAGACAGCAAGCATATCTGACTTCAGTAATTTGAAAAAATCAGATAAAAGCTTTTGTTTTAATTAAAACAGACAAACATTTAATTAAAATGAGTACCCCCTACCCCGCCCCCCACGGAAAGCCCTGTCCCCGCTGGCGCCTCGCTCAGACCTCTGGCCCCGGCGCAGTGCCGGGAAGAGGAGCGACCTACGTCAATGGAGCAGCCCACCAGGGAGCCCCTCTTCAAGGCCTTCTCCAGGATCTCATAGAAGTTCTCTGGAGCCTCTTTAGTCGCGAAGGTCTCTGCCACGCCCCCGGTGAAGTCTTCCATGGCCTCGATGACGCTGCCCCCCTTCAGAGCCTCGTAGCTCCCGTTCAGCCTGGAGGGACACAGGGAAGCAAGGCAACCGCGGCCCGGAAGAGCGCGGCCACCAGGTGGCGCCCCCAGCCAGACTTTTCCTAACCCTGCTTTGCCTTCCCCGGGCCGGGTGGTGAGGCCGGAGGATGGGAAGCCGGATCAAGTTTGCGCTGAGCTCTATGGGAACAAGACGCCCTGAGCGCTCCGCGAAAAGACAGCGCAGTGCGGTAGCAAAGAGCATCGACTGGCTCCCTGGCTGGCTACAGGTTCGAGCCCTAGTCCCACCACTTATAAGCGGAGTCATCTTGGGTCAACTCGGTTCCCTAATTCACAAGACAAGGCATGGCTGTACTCTCCCTCCCAGGGCAGCTGTGAGGCTTAAACGAGAGCCTCTCTCTGCTCACAGGGACCAGGGCCGGACCATGAAGGTGTCAGTTGTAGGCAGAGAGTGAGAGCTGAGGACCCATCTCTGTGGTGTCACGTGCGCCATTCATTTCCAAAGTTACTAGGTCAGCACCTCCTCCCCCCTCAGTGAGTGGGTCTCAGCTGGGTGCTGTCACGGTCTGCATGTCGACCCCCGATCCCCCGTCTTCCTGGATGAGTTGTTCTGCGCTGTCGAGGTTGGGGGTCTGACAAATGCACGGGGTCAGGTACTTGCTGTCACAGTGTTATGCAGGGTGGTTCCACTGCCCTAAAAGAAACCCCCTGCGCCCCACCTCTTCACCCCTCCCTCCCCGGAACTCCTGGCCACCACTGATCTTCCCGCCTCCATGGTTTTGCTTTCGCGGGGTGTCATGTGGTTGGACTCATACAGTAGGTAGGTAGCCTTTTTGGTTGGCTTCTTTCACTTAGTAAATAAGCCTTTAAGATTCATGTGTGTTTTTTCCTGGCTTGGAAGCTCATTTCTTTTTAGCACTGAATAGTATTCCATTGCCGGGGTGGACAACGGCTTGCTTATCCATTCGTTAGCTGAAGGGCACCGTGGTGCCATCCAGTTCTGGGCAATTATGAATAAAGCTGCTACAAAGCTGAAGGTTTGAAGGCTTTTGTGTGGACACAAGTCTTCACCTAACTCATGGACCAAGGGGTGCAGCCGCTGGATCATTTGGTGAGACTATATTTAGGCTTGGAAGACGCTGTCGAATTGTCTTCCAAAATGGCGGGGCCATTCTGCCTTCTCACCAGCAATGGATGAGGGTCCTGCTACGCCACAGCCTCATCAACAACTGGTGCTGTAGGTGTGTTGTGGCATTTCACTGTTTTAACTTGCAGTTTCTTGATGACGTTGGGCATCTTTCCCTGTTCTTGTTTGCCATCTATCCATCCATTTAGGTGAGGTATCCTCCCCACCATTTTTAGCCACTTTTAATGACCAAAAAAATAAACAGATTTTCCTCTTTAGGAAACCTATTCTTTTCTCTCTGAAGGAAAAGCCCTACCCTTCACATCCCGCTGAATCCCACCAACTGGAGTCCCAGGCCCCACCCTTTCCCACAGCTGATTTCCCTGCGTGGGGCTCACTGAGGAGGAAGCGGGGCCTCGCCGAGCCCCGGTGAGCACAGGAGCAGCCCTTGAGGAGGACCCCGTCGAAGTCCCCTGACACAGGGACTCCCCAAGGGGCAGAGCCAAAGCAGGAGCCCTCCCCCTGTGGCTGGAAGGAGCGCCCCTTTGCCCACCTCAAGCCTGTCCTGTGGCACTAAGGGTGCCCACAGAGCCAGGCGAAACAGGAGGGCAAAGAAAACCTCTCCTTTGTTTCCTCTTTGATGCCTTAAACGCTGTCCCGGTGATTTCAGGGCCCGCAAAGCCCCAGTTAGTGGGACCTCATTTTATTTCTGCCACTGTACCCCCCACCTAGAGGCAGAGGCATGTCCCTCTCCCTGCTTCCTGCCTCCGAAGACAGGATTCCCACGGCCTGAACATCCGGCGGAGCTTGAGAGGGACCCCCACCCCCACCCCGGGGAGCCCCGCTGCCATCTGAGCTCAGAACTCAGGCTGCCTCTGGCTGAGGAGCTGATGGGCTGGAAGTCCAGCCACTGAGGGCAACGGGGCCAAGAATGGGGGTCTCGATTTCACTTATATGCGGCACCTGGACTCATCAGATCCACAGAGACAGAGGGGTGAGGGGGCCGGAGCTGGGGCTGGGGCATTAGTGTGCGATGGATGTGGCCTTGTAGCTTTGCTGCCTGAAAGTTCTGGGTGATGGTCGCACAACGATGTGAATGCACTTAATGCCATTGAACTGTACATTTGAAAATGGTTGAAATGGTAAATTTGACCACAGTTTGTTTAATCGAAAGAAAGGAGCGTTCTGAAAGGAAAATCATTTGGTGTTTGTCCACGTGGATCGCAGCTCGGATGTTTGAGCGGCGACAGCGTTCGGCGGGGAGCCCGGAGGACCAAGTGTCCTCAGCCCACCAGCATTTCCCTCTGCTCGCCTCTCAGCTCTTCCCACGGCCACACTCGTGACACAGGGAGAGAGAGGGAACGCATGTCGCCGCTGTGCACGGGGCTGGGCACGCCAGGCCACAACAGGAGAATCGCTCCTTTCCTGCCTCCAGCCCCGAGGGAGCCCCTAGCAGGTGCGCCCCCGCCCCCAGCCACACCTTGTACCCCAAGCTCTGTCCGCCCTGCTTCGCAGAAACCCCGTGAACAGGCCGCGGGGGCGGGGCGGGGCGGGGCCTGCACTCACTTCGCGTAGGCTTTTTCCAGCAAGGCGCTCCAGAACTCGTTGTGGTCGGCCGAGTGGAGGAAGATCAAGCGGTCCCTGAAGGTGGGCAGCCGGTCATCGACCACCACGTCCAGCCACTCACTGTGCTGCCAGAACTGCAGCCCGGGGGAGCCGGAAGTTAGGGGGCCCCACGGCAGGCCCAGCCCCATTCGCGAACGCTCATCACTCTGCTCTTCCTCCGTGGACCGACCTGCCCCGAGGGGCCTGAGGGACATCACAGGTGGGCTGCGTGATGAGGCCCCCTGGACTCAGCGGAGCACCCGACCCTACCCCTGACATTGGCTCCAAGACTTGGTGAGGGTCCCTCGCAGCCTGGGGCCGCAGGGCAGGGCCGCACGTGGACACTGCACCGCGCCCTGATGGGCCCTCCTCCCCGCCCCTGCCCTCTCTTCATCAGACCCGGCAGCGTTTGGTTGGCCCCACGTAGCCACACCCCCTTCTGCCCCGCCCCCTTACACACGCAGGCTGTGACCCAGCTGCCCCTGCACCTCGCGTCCCTTCCTTGCTTGGAGGCAGAGCCTCTAAACTGGTGTTTTGGCCATTCACGTTCAAGGAGACAGCAGGTGGGCACTCGTGCCAGGTGCCAACGTGAGGGGAGTGCGCGTGCACATATGGGTGTCCATGTGTCCTTACATGCTCACACACATGTGCATGTGCATTTGTGCAGGGGACAAGCAGGGCAGGCCTCGCCTGGCGTGACTCTGTCCTCTGCAGGGTCCTGGCAGATGACATCTCTGTGCTTCTCTTGGATTTCAGTTTTTAAGCTCACTCCTGTCTCCACACCTATATCTCTTCAACAAGGAGACTCTCAACTTATGAGAAATAACTCTGTTCCTAAGAGGTATAATCGTTTTAGGCCACTTATGCTTAAAGCACAAGAATTCTCAAATATCAGAGCCCTTAACAGGCGGCCCTCGAGCTGTGCCGGAGCGTCGCCGCGGGCTTTGCTGCCGACTTTCTGAGAGGGTTCGCCCAGGGTGCCCGCACGCTCGTCCAGTGCGTGTGGAGGTCATCTGTGACTGAGGGCCCTTTGGGATGCCGCTGTCACCCCGGAGGGTGGCCTTCCTTCCGGGTTTCCCAGCAGCTATGGGTGTCCCTGGCATCACACTGGACCCCGAGAGGCCAGCCCATGGCTGGGCCCCGCTTACCTGGAAGTGGAATATCCCAGCGTAGCCGGGGCCGAAGCTCTGGTCCAGGGGCACAACTCTCGCCAGCGCTTTTTCGTTAAGCGTGAGGGAGGCGATGGCAGCCAACAGCCAGCAGTCGCCTGCGAAAGGCACGTCAGAAATCGTGGGTTTCACTGCTCATTCACAGCGAACAGGAAACTCTCCGGCAGAGGGTGCGGGGCGCTCTGGATGTGGTCGCACCTTTTGCGCATTAAGAGAGCGGGCAGATACCGGCAAACACCTCTGGCCTCCCCCCGCTGCCTCCCTTCGCCCTCCCTGCCCAGTCATCAGAGTCCCGGTCGTGGGGGTGTTTCGGGACACGCTGACTTGGGTGTCAGACGTACGCTCCGTGAGCGTCAGCTCCGCGAGTCTCCAGTGACTCCCCCTCCAGACCACCAAGGCTCAGACCTGAGCGTCGGCCTGGCCGGGGGTGGCGGGGGGCAGGTCTGCCGCCCCTGGGCACCTCAGAATGAGCCCCGCGGGGCCCGGGGGCACGGTTCCGGGCCGACGCCTGCGCCAGCCCGGACTCCGTCTTAGATAAGGGCAGCTCCAGGGTCGTTTGTGTTCAGTACTTGTGGATTCTCAAGATTTGTGGATTAATGATGGACTGATTAATAATAATCAGTTGTGTTTTCATGTCTACACACATCTAGAGGAAAACTCAAACATGAGTCAAATTTCGACAGTATTTTACGTGTGTCGTTCCCGACTCCACATGAAGTGAAGGCCTGGACCACGGAGTCACTGGGCTCCAACTCCGGGAGCAGCGGGGCGGTGCGGGGAGCCGGGGCCGGGTGGGGGGAGGGAGGAGGAGCCACAGGTGGCAGCAGCGAGGCCCCAACGCCAGCGCCTGGTGCTGCTCTTGCTGCGTCGACCGCTCAGAGGCCGGTCCGCCTGCGCAGGGCGCTCTGTCCAGCCTGTCACCGCGCGCCATTCCCCCCCGCCCCCGCCCACACTTACCGAGCTCCCCCTGGCAGATGTCGGTCCTGGTGGCCCCTCCAAGAATGAATTCCGGATTTTTCACTATTTCCTGGAAGAGTGAGGTTGTTATTCAAGTGAGGCTGCCACGTGATGTGCCCGCTCAAGGGGAGGCTCAGGGCCGCTCGGAGCAGAGGGCTGTTTTCCGGTATTGGATTTGCTTTCCTGGTTGGGGGGGGGGGGGCTTGAGGAGGCGAAATGTGGCCGTGGCTCTGTACCCCACAACGCTGGGCCAACCCCGGTAGCTCACCTCCCTGGGGAGAGGTCCTGCCTTCTGAGCCCCTCAGCTCAGCCTCTGGCCAAAGCAGGACGTCTCCAGGCCCTGACGCTTCCCCTGGCCCCTCAAGCCTCAGGCCAGGTGTCGGGGGCCCTGGGTTCAAATCCTGGCTCCCCACGCGTGTGCCTGAGTGGGCTCCAGACCCACATCAAAGAGAGTCATACATACGGGCTGGTGCTTTGGATTAAACACAAGTTCCTACTCAGGCCAGCCAGCTTCCTCCTTTTTCAAAATATGCATTTAGGGATAATTATTAAATATATCTATATGACAATGACAGATATGTGCGTATAGCTCTCATATAACTTTACCGAAGTGCACTAGATATATTTTATTGTATATTACACATAATCATACCTTTTATGGGTATATAATAAAATCATTCCTATACATATATGAACACATAGATAATATGGAGGGATAAGTATAAAACACTAACACAAAAGCATTTAAAAGGCATTATACAAAATTTACATTTTCTCTCTGTTGTTTGGAGGCGGCAGGCTCCATTCCTGGCGTGGACTACAGCAAAGAACAAGAGAGACAGTCCCTGCCGAGGGGCTGGGGATCAGGCCCTGGGCTGACGAGCAGACACTCAGGTTCCCGAAGGGTGAATGCCAGGACAGGGAAGGGTGGCGCGGGGCGGGCTGGTTTAGCGGGAGGGGTGGGGGCGGCAGACAGTTGCGCAGGGAGTCCCGTGAAGGTCCAGGGAGAGGATGTCTAGCCTGGCACGTCCTGGAGCTGTGGAGGGGGCTCAGGGGGTCTCCGAGCGGTCGGCAGCCTCTGGGGGCGACCCTGCTGTGCACGGAGGCCATGGCTGCGCGCATGCGTATACGCAGGAGGCTAGAGGACTACAGCGGCGCCTCCGGGCGCCGGGTGTCCTGGGCTGAGAAGTGGGGGAGGCGGTTGCATGGAAGAAAGCAGATGGTTTCAGGCAGATGGGGAGCCAGGGAGAAAACCAGGGCCAAGGCATTCGTGAGCAGAGCAAGTCAGGCCCAGGAGGGCCCAGGAGGGCAGGCTGTCGGGGGCTGCCCTTCACCGGCATGGCTGTCGGCGCCCCCATCAGGCCGGGAGACCCCCATCAGGCAGGAGATCCCTGTCCCACTCACTCAGACCCACAGCCCTTCCCAGGAGGCCTGGCCCAGGCCACACCCACCGGGGGTGACCTCGCCTTCTCTTCCAGTCCTGCCCATCACCCACCCCTACAGCAGGCGCCAGGACATCCACGGCAGTGACTCCTTGGCCCAGAGGGCAAGGCTGGCCGCCCTTGCCCTGTGATGTCCCCTCGACTTTCCTGATTCCAGCTGCTCCTGCCCGCCACGCCCCTGCCCCAGGCACAGCTGTGTTTGACAAACAGGTGGTGCGGGGAAGGGCCCTTGGCAGCTCACAGCCTCTGCACCAAAGTGCAGGCAGCACCCCAGCCATGGTCCTTGGTGGGGGGACCCCGGAAGCTGACCATTTCCCCGCTGGCCCCTGTGTCCCCAAACCAGGGACCTGGAGCTCCGTCCGGCAAGTGGAACCTCAGTCCCCACCCCCACACCTCGTCCCTGAGTCCCCAGAAGTCTGTGAGCTATAACACAAAGCCCCAGCCTCCCCCACCCCTCTTCCTGCATAGGAAGCAGAGCTGGGTGTCCCAGAAAGAGCTGTGTGCGTCGAGCTTTGGCCTCGGAGAAATTCCAGTTCTGGCAAAGAGAAGGGGAGCTGTAGGCTGCAGACGGCACTCGAAGCCGAGGCAGGCAGCGTGGAAGGCACGGGGGCCCTGGAGGGGGAGCGGCTGGGGGTGGCTTACAGACACGGGCGGCCTGTCACCCGTGGCCCTGAGGGGCCTCCGAGCTGCTGAGTGCCCACGCGGGTGGCTGATGCCTTCCTGACTGCCCCCCAACACCCCGTGGCTCCTTCTGCCCAATTCTGTGCCTTCCCCTCCCCAGGTATTGCCCCTAAGAGTGCCCCTGAGAAGACGGGTCCGTGCCCCCAAGGCCGACTTTGTTTGGGGTCAGAAAGAAGCCCATCTCGCTGTGAGAGGCGCGGCCGTCTGGTGGGCGGAGGCAGCGTGTTTGGAAGAACAGAGGCAGCGGCGGGCCCGGGCTGCCCCAGCGGGCTCAGCCCCTGCCCTGCTCTGCTGCAGTCACACTGTGCTTCCGGGCGGTACAGCGTCCCCCCTCCACCAGGAGCCGTGCGTCAGTGAGCGCGGTGGCCAGCACCCCTGCTGGTGCCATGCCCGGCCCCGTGTGGCACTAGCCTCCAGGCCCGGGTAGGTTGGGGACATAATAACGCCCCCCTCTCAGGGTTATTTGGATTCAGTGAGAAAATACTGGTCCACAACAAGTGTTGCCCAGGCCGTAGTGACTGTTGGCTGTTGCCATAGTAACGTTGGCTGTTACCATCGTTTTGAAAGTGCCAGATGGCGCCCGTAGCTGAGGGCGTGGTGGGGTTTGGGACAAAGGAGCTTCTGCTCACAGAACATGACTCTAAGGCAGGACTCAGGGCGCCGCGCGGGTTCTTACGTTAAAGCAGCATCGGCGCTGAAACAGAGACCACCAGGATGCGGGGGGTGTGGGGAGGCCACTGAGCAGGGGTCCAAGTCTCCCAGCAGAGAGGGGCCTTCCAGGGAGCATGCCAGGCGGGGGGCACGGGGTCGGGGGGGTGCTGTGGGAGGAGCGACCACGAGGCTGGGGCTTGGCTGTCGGCAGAGGGGGCGGGGTGGGGGGACCCACCTTTTGCGGGGCAACATCCAACGCCCTGAGGGCGCTGAGGAGGGGGCATGAGCCCCGGAGGCCATCCCAGGGGTAGGCAAGCCTGGAGCCAGGGAGGCCAGTGAGGCGGGGAGGAAGCTACTGGAATTCCTCAGAAGGGAGGCTTAGCCATCCCGGGATCGCCTTGGTGGACAGAGGAACACACTACAGAACCAGAGCAGCTGACACGTGAACCAGGGCGGCGTGGCACATAGGTGAGCACACGCATGCAACAGCCTCCAACAGGAACTAGCAATAAAGACCTTCCAAGGCATCGATAGCTGTGTGTACTTTGGGCTGGGCCCCGAGGGCTGGAGGTTTTTGTGTAAAACGTCAACATTGTTTGGATGTTGAATGTAGGGAGATCGGGAGGAGGCGGACGTGAGGAACCCTGGCTGCTCACATGGAGGATGAGACTCGGAGCTGTTGTTGAAGATGATGATGATGGTACCAGTAAGATAAATAGGATCACAGCCGTCATTTGTTGCAAACGTGAGGGGCAGCGCGGGACCACGCGCAGCCCCAGCTTTGGGCCCAGCATTCTGCTCTCCCCCGTCCCCACCGGGGCCGCTGCCAGGCCGGTGCGCACCCCGCGGGACCACGAGCGGCGTGCTGGGCAGGGGTCGGGCCCTGGCTAACCCAGCATGGCACCTATCGGCCCCTCATCCCAGGCACCAGCTGGCGCCCCCGGGACCTCCAGACTGCTGGGTGGGGCGGCGTGATGACAGCCCCCTCCTGGGGAAGGGAGGCTCGTGGTTTGGGGGAGAGAACGCCGCTTCCTGGTGTTCCCCGCATCACACAGGTACTGAGCCCCTGCTGAGGGTCCGCCCCACGGAGCACGCAGGTAAAACCTGGCCGGAAGCCACTGAGCACTTAACACGGGCCACCTCCGCGTTAGCGCCCACGGGCGGGGGCGGGGAGGGTCCACAAGCCTCCCGAGGCCTGTCCTGGGGGAAGCGCGGGCCCTGGCTACCTCACCACCTCCTCGCAAGGCGCTCTCTGAGTCTGGTCCAGCTTTGGTGGGAGTCAGAGAGCTGGGGGCGGGGCGGGGCGCCGCCAGGCGCCCTGGGTACCATCCCCCGCGTCCCCACTTCCTGGCGCGTGTCCCCCGCATGTCATTCCTGCCCTCAAACTGCACAGCCTCTCCACAGTGGCCTCAGCAGGGGCGCCCAAGCCAGGTGTGCGCTGCCTCCCCTCCCACCCCTCCTCTCCTGCCCCCCCCATAGCTGCGCCCCTCCACCCCACCCCCTCGCTGCACTCACCCCCGGCCGCTTCCACACGAAGGGGATCTGGGGCCTCTCGCTGTAGAAGAGAGAGGAGCTGTTGGCAGGGAAGTCAGCATCCTCAAAGAGGACGCCCTTGCGCAGGCACTCCTGCCTCAGCTGCTCGAAGCTCTGGCCCGAGGAGTGGGTGCTGCGGGCGTCCCTGGGAGCTGGGTGCCCCTGGGGCCCGGGGGCCCGGTAGAGGTAAGGCATGCCTGCTCCCGGGCAGCGGGTCCGGGTTGGCGGTGGGTGGGAAGGAGTGAGATGCTGGTGCCAGTCAAGGGGCACCTGGGCTGAGCAGCGCTTGGGCTCTACCTATTTGCCTGGGAACCTCCCTGTAGGCTGAGAGGGGCACACCCTGAAGGCAAACTGCAGAGAGAGCCCTGTGCCCTCCCAGGGCTCCTGCAGCCCCAGAGGAGCGGGGAGGCTGGGCCCGTCCCAGCAGAGGCAGCCCCAGAGGGAGAGAGGATTGCTTTCGGGGGGTGGGGGTGGGGGGGAAGAGAAGGAACCTCTGCCCACTGCCCGCCCCCTCCCCGCCACAGTCCAGAAGGTGGCAGCTGGGACTGGCTTTGCCCAAGGGAGGGTGCCCGTCTTATGTCAGAGAATGGCAGTTTGGTGGTTGGAAGGGAGTTTAATAATAGTACATATTACGGGGGCGGCCGACTTTTTCTGGGAAGGGCTGGGTAGTACGTTCGGCTCAGTGGGCCTTGCGGTCTGCGTTGCCTCCACTCGACTGCCTGCTCGCGGGGTCCAAGCGGCCCTGGGTGCCGTGCCCACAAGCGAGCAGGGCTGCGTGCCCACAGGGCTGGATTTGGTCCAGCCGCAGCTTGGTCGCTCTGACCCCCGATGCGGGTGAACTGAGGGCCCCTGGGTCTGCGACACCCAGTTGCCCATCCACTCTAGGAATAAGGGACAGCACCGTGGCCCCAAAGTCAGTGAGGGAGGGTCCCCATCCCGGGGCGGGTGGGCAGGAGCCTTCAGAGTGGTCTCTGTCACTTGTTTAAGGAGGGGGTCCCGCAGGCCAGCAGTGACGTTGTCAACCTCTCCCACAGGGCGGCAGGAGGCCCCTAGGTCACCGTGCGCCCCTGCCCTCTGTGGGCAGCTCCCTGAGGAAGGGTGTTATTGATTGTCTCCCTGATGACCCACTCTCTCCCCGAGAAAGCCTCTGGCACTGGACTTTGTTATGATGATAAACACAGGCGATCGTTTAAGGGATTTTAAGTTAACTTCTTCTCCGGAAGTAATGGAAAGCACTTTAGGGTTTCCTTTCTTGGGGACCCACAGGGTTTTGCCCTGACATAGGGAGGGTTTATAGACATATATTGTGGTAAAACACACAGAACACAAAAGTTACCACCTTAGCTTTTAAGTGTAGCCCTCAGTGGCTTTAAGTACGTTCACAGCGCAATGCGACCGTCATCCCAAGCCACGTCCAGAGCTCTTCATCTTTGCAATCTGAAACTCGGTTCTCACTGAACACTAACGCCCCGTTCCCCCTGCCCTCTCTCCCTCACCCCTGCCCCTGCCCACCACCCCTCTACTTCCCATCTCTTAAAGCTGACGCCTCTAGGGACCTTCTGTAAGTGGAATCACACAGTGTCTGTCCTTTTGCGTCTGGTGCACTTCCCTCAGCATAATGTCCTCAAGGTCCGTCCATGTTATGGCCTGTGTCAGGATTTCCTTCCTTTTAAAAAAGTATTTAAATATATATATATATGTATATATATATATATGTGTATATGTATATTTATTTATTTTTAGAGAGCAGGTAGGGGGATGGAGAAAGGGAGAGAAACATCAATGTGAGAGAGAAGCATCGATCAGTTTCCTCCCATAGGAGCCCCGACTAGGGATCGAACACACAACATTTCAGTGCACAGGATGATGTTCCACCAAAATGAGCCCCCTGGTCAGAGCTGAAGCCTCTTATTTTTAATTTGAATTTGTCCTTATAGGGCCCACTGAGAGCTGGAGACACAGCCTGGGAGCACAGAGCAGCAGCCACAGCTGAAGACTATTTCAGTGCCATCAGGCTCCTGTGGATCAAAGGGAATTGAGAGAGAGAGAGAGAGAGAGAGAGAGAGAAGGTTAGAGGCCACTGGGGAGCCAAGGGAGCAGGTGGTGAGGAAACCGCGCGAGGCAGGGGCGCGGGCTCCGGGTCCGCGTGGAGGGTCAGGCTGCCTTTGCATTTCTGTTGGCTGTTAGCCTGGAGCGGTGAGTTCCGCGGGTACCCAACCTCTTTCCCCAACCTGCTGGCAGAAAACCCATCGCCGACCAGCAGACCTTTCAGAAGCGACCTTAGCTGGTGTTTGCACGGAGCTCACGGAGCCCAAGGCCCTGCTCCCAACATTTGCACAGGCGAAGTAACTGAATCCTCACAGCAACCGTGAGAAAGGAGGGGGCTTTTCTACTAGGGGTGGCAGGGAAGCTGAAAATGGGCCAGCTCCGTGCCCTGACCCCGATTAAAGAGAACGCGATGCGTAAACAGTGCCTGGGCTGACAGAGTGCGGGGCAAACCGCGCCCGCTGCCCTCCGACGGCCCCGCCCAGCGAGGGAGGATGAACGCGGAGCAGCAGACTGAGGCGATGGGAAGGTGACCTGCTCGTTGAAAGTGCTTAGTACGTTCCAGCACCTCAGCGCTGTTGCGGTGCTGCTGGCTCTGTCTTCGTGTGGATGAATGATCACCTCTCCAGCCGGACATAACAGCCCTGAAGGCTGGGGAACTTCCTGTGCGGGGTAGCCCTCCCAGCACGACCAGGACGGGGCCTTCCATGGAGTCGGTGCTCAGTAATTACCCACGAAAGATGAGCATTACCGGTTCCTGAGACGTGGCTAGAGCTTAGCATTTCCCCGCTCAGACATGGTGTCTTTTCGGGGGTAGGACTTCGAACTTTAGATGTTCTCCTTAGTTATTTACTTAGGGCTTGTATTTCTTCTTGAGGCTGTATTGATGACTCACACTTTTCTAGAGAACTGCCACGTCACTTAGGTTTTCATACTTCATGGCACAAAGCTGTTTGTGGTCCACTCCCCGCATTTTCTAATCGCCTCTGTAACTGTAGTCTGTTTACACGTGCTTGGTGAATGGTTGTTGACAGTTGGTAGACAGTTTTTGGTTACAGTCAGAGACTGACCGGTGAGTGCAGCTGGACATTTGCCCCCGGCAGAAGCATCTGGGGTTCCCAGCTGGATGCTCGGTGGTATGAAGTGGTCTCTCTGCCCTGGGCCAGGAGGCCACCCACATGGGTCCAGGGATAAGAAGCCGTTCCCAGCACAAAGGCTCACAGACGTTTGGCTCAGGGAGCGGAGGACTGTTTTATTTTTCTCTTGCCTCACATCTTTTTTTTTCCTGTCTTTAAAATTGTTTTATTTTTTATTGTTCAAATACATTTGTCTCCACCTTCCCCGCACCACTTTCCCCTGCCCCACCCATCCCACCTCCCACCCTCAGTCCTTCCGCACTTTGGCTTTGTCCATGGAACCTTTATACATGATCCTTGATTTGACCCTTCTGCTTCTTTTTCCTGTTAGCCCCCTTCCTCCTCCCCTCTGGTTACTCTTGGTTTGTTTTTTCTTTCAATGTTGTTGGTTATATTTTTCTTGCTTGTTTGTTTTGTTGATTAATTTCCACTTATAGGTGAGATCATATGCTTTCTCTCTTTCACCATCTGGCTTATTTTGCTTAGTATAATGCTCTCCAGTTCCATCCATGCTGTTGCAAAGGGTAGGAGTTCCTTCTTTCTTTCTGCTGCGTGGTATTCTATTGTGTAAATGTACCATAGTTTTTTGATCCACTCATTTATTGATGGGCACTTAGGTTGCTTCCAGCACTTGACTATTGTAAATTGTGCTGCTATGAACATTGGGGCGCATAGGTTCTTTTGAATTGGTGTTTTGGGATTCTTAGGGTATAATCCCAGCAGCGGAATCACTGGGTCAAAAGGCAGTTCCATTTTTAGCTTTTTGAGGAAATTCCAGACTGTTTTTTTTTTCTACATTGGCTGCACCAGTCTGCATTCCCACCAGCAGTGTACTAGGGTTCCCTTTTCTCCACAGCCTCACCAGCACCTGTTGCTTTTTGATTTGTTTATGATGGCCATTTTGACCGGTGTGAAGTGGTATCTCATTGTGGTTTTAATTTGCATCTCTTTGATGGCTAGTGATGCTGAGCATCCTCTCATATGTCTCTGGGCCCTGTGTATGTCCTCCTTGGAGAAGTGTCTGTTCAGGTCCTTCGCCCATTTTTAAATTGGGTTGTTTGTCTTCCTGGAATGGAGTCGTGTGAGTTTTTGTATTTATTTTGGAGATCAAACCCTTGTCCAAGGTATCATTAACAAATATATTTTCCCATATGGTTGGTTCCCTTTTCATTTTGTTGATGTTTTCTTTAGCCATGTAGAAGCTTCTTATTTTGATGAAGTCCCATTTGTTTATTCTTTCCTTTATGTCCCTTGCTCTAGGGGACATATTGGTGAAAATATTGCTGCATGGAATATCTGTTTCCTGCCCATGTTCTCCTCTAGGACTTTTATGGTGTCGCAACTTATATTTAAGTCTTTTGTCCATCTTGAGTTTATTTTTGTGTATGGTGTAAGTTGGTAGCTGAATTTCATTTTTTTGCATGTAGCTGTCCAGATCTCCCAACACCATTTGTTGAAGAGGCTATTTTTATGCCATGTTATGCTTCTGCCCCCTTTGTCAAATATTAATTAACCATGGAGACATGGGTTTAGTCCTGGGCTCTCTATTCTGTTCCATTGATCTATATGTCTGTTCTTATGCCAGTACCAGGCTGTTTTGATTACAGTGGCCTTGTAATATAGTTTGATGTCTGGTATTGTGATCCCTCCTATTTTGTTCTTATTCCTCAAAATTGCTGCAGCTATTCAGGGTCATTTATTGTTCCATATCAATTTTTGAAATGTTTGTTCTATATCTGTGGAATATGTCATTGGTATTTTAATAGGGATTGCATTAAATCTATAAATTGCTTTGGGTAGTGTGGACATTTTGATGATGTTAATTCTTCTAATGCATGAACACAGTATATGCTTCCATTTATTTGTGTCTTCCTTAATTTCTTTCTTCAGTGTTGTGTAGTTTTCTGAGTACAGGTCTTTTATCTCTTTGCTTAAGTTTATTCCTAGGTACTTTTTTTTTTTTTTTGTTACTATAGGAAGTGGGATTCCCCCCCTGATTTCTGATTCTGATAT